TTCTGATGTAATCAATCAGCCATCCACATATTTCTCACAGAGTCATGTGAGTGTGTTCTGTGTGTTCAGGGGGAACGATGAAAAAAGAGAAGTTAAAGGATCTGGCGAGAGTTCCATCTTTTGAAGAATTATCGGTCATGTAAGCATTGTACCAGCCTGCAGGCGCAGCTGGCTCTCAAAGGGAGTGAGAGCTGACACAAACCTGATTGGTTTAATTCATGTCACACAGAAAACACACCTACTGTATGTAAAATCATGGGACTTAATCCATCCTCTTCGCACTCTGTGACCCAGATTGTGACACCGCATAAACATCAAAATATAGCCAGACACATCCCAAATCCCAGCGTGCCACACGCTTTAGATAAAGCACTTTATGCCGTCAAAATAGCGCCACAGGAGTTTGACCCAGCCCACCCTGTCCACATGAACCACTCACTGTGTAGGCTAACTGTGTCGCTACATGTAGCTCTACATTTCACTGTCAGTTCAAACATTCGCTTCATCAGTATAACTATAACACAAATGTTAATTCACCTGTTTCCATATACAATATTAACATTAAATATCTGTATCACACCAAAGTTGAACAAAAAAACATTCCACTGTACGACAGTTTTGATTCAGAGCCGATGCTATAAAGAACCGGGAGGTGGCTTTTTTGACCTTAGTCATTGATCCAAGTGACTTTATGAGAAAGCTAGTGAGATTCATAACTAGCTGTAGGCTCCAGTATGTATATGCTTTCATTAGCTTGTGCTATTTTTGACTGGTTGAATCACACTACATTCAAAGTTATATGATCGCTCTGTTGTACTCATTATTGCTGTGATTTAATTCCTCCACAGACAAACGTGCTAACTGTGTAGCCTAAGGGCCATTAGTCACACTGTTAATAGCCAGGCTGCTTAGCTAGCCATGCTAAGTATGTGTAGCCTAACCTGGTCCCTTATTGGCTTACAGATATATTTACATATCTCACTTTGAGATATTTAGCTCGGTCTGAGAGAAGGGCCTTTTTCTTTGTTATTGTCTTGCCATGTCTGCTCCATCTTTTCTTTACTTTTTGATCATAGCGACGCACATAGCAACCGTTTCCCTGCTGCAACATTATCGCCAGGTGAAATGGTGCAGCAGGGAAACGGTTGCTATGTGCGTCGGAATGACAACATTTTTTGCAGACAGCAGCCGGGACTGTATGGATAAACAGACCAAGAGAGAGTGGCACTCTCATGATGATGCGTGCATTCAGGGAGGTCTATCCACTCATACTTGCTGCTCACATCGACTGTTTGCAGCAGGCCAAATAGACGCCTATGGCCACCAAGAAACGTCCCGGCGCTCCAGACGTACGCCTGTTTGTGATTACACAGTTATTGTAGGTATGAGGTACATCAGCAGAAACACAGTAGCTTTAATCCCAGACACTGGGCTCAGGGCTCAAACTGCTTTTGCACAATGCGTACTGAAGTTGAACATAATTTTAAATTTAAATTAGAAAAAACTTTGACTTGACAAATAACTGACTGACTAAGCACAAATACACAAACTGGTTTCATATCATTGACCACAGTAGAGACATGTTGACATGGCAAATGTTGATATTATCCGCTTACCTTTCAATCTTTTGTTAATGTTACACCTGTGTAATTCCTGCTCAATCAAAGTGTCTGCTGTGGTAGAGGTTTATTCATATGAGCCGAATGACCGCGTAATTAATTCTGCAGGATACAAAAAAAAGAGCCACACAGCCATTACGCATCTGCAGGCGGTTGATAGCTTAACAGTCAGTACCAAGCGACCCATAATCACAATATCAAGTGATTCACATTCTGCCTTCTCTTCATTATTCTCCTGTATGCATCACTTCAGCACTTCATTTAGCAAACTGAAAAGTTAAGCTTCTACAGGTGGAAAGTTGTAGGTAAACTGCTTTTGACTTTTGTTCAACAGGGCCAGTATTCCCTTCAGTTGAGAAGAATTCTGTGTGTGGGTGCAGATGGCCCAGAGGTTAGGTTGTGCCACATGCACAGAGGCTATAGACCTCCAAACTGGCGGCCCGGGTTTCAGTCCGGCCAGTGGCTCCTTTCCTGCATGTCATCCCCCACTCTCTCTCTCTCTCTCTCTATAAAAATAAATGTTAAAATACTTTAATACAGTGGTTCTCAACTTGTGGTACGTGTACCACCACAGGGAGCCCGCGTACCACCGGTGGTATGCAAAGAAATCTCCACAATATAAAAAACAAAGCTGTTAAGCATAAAACAAAATTTTTTATTTTTGTCATACTCTTATCTTATCTGTCTTGTATCTATTGAGTTGTATTTTTATCAAATATGTTTTCCACTCTAAATGAATCTAGTTTTTGCAACAAACAACTTTAATCTGCTCAATTTAATGCTCACACACAGACATAAACAACAACTGGAGTATGCCTCGCGTTTTGAAAAGTTCCGCTCGATATTCTGTTATATTTCAGTCCTGAAACAACAGCAAGCAGCTGTAGACCTACATTAACAGATATTCTGTTATTTATTGGAGTTCAGCACAATCGGCAGCAAGCAGCTGTTCATTTACATTTTTAAAACGGAGCCAGGAGAAGCTTCAGTTTTGATGCATGTACGGACTCTCTCTCTCTCTCTCTCTCTCTCTCTCTCTCTGAAGCTGATGTGATTCTGCTCTCTTTTGCTGTCTTAACACTCCTCAGGAGTCGAGAGGGATTTTTTTTGGGCAGTTTTGCTATGTTGAACGCAGAGACTTATAATACAGAGGCTCTGGTTGCACAGAGCCTGCGGAGCGCGCGCGCCTGCACTCTCTCACGCGCTCTCTCTCTTTCTCACGCGCTCTCTCTTTCTCTCTCGCGCACGCAGCAATTTTATGAATAAATGAAAAATTAAATGAGAACAGGTCGGAAATATACTTGGGCCCAGGTATCGTCTTTGTGTGGGAAACACTGGAGACTGAATATTCTCAAACAGGTTGATGGTGTAAAGTTGTCATTTTTATTGTGCTGCACTTTTTTTGATTTTGGCCAGTTCTAGCGCTCACCCTTAGTAGTCCTACAGCATGGCTGCCAACAGTCGATAATAAATAATATTATTTTTATGAATTAATTTGCCTCTTGCATGAAATGTGTGTAAGAAATAGGCCTACAGTGTATTTTAACATGTACCATAATGCTGGTACTTGGAGAGCCAAATATTTTCAGAGATAGTACGCCGTCTAAAAAGTTTGAAAACCACTGCTTTAATACATTTCAAAATAATAATTCTATCTGCACATCCATTGTTCCAAAAATTATTCCACACAGACAGAAATGCAAAATCTGTTACAAAAGCTTCAAAATGCATCCAGTGCCAGTAGGTGGCGTTAATGTCTATGACAAGAACAATTTCAGCTTTTTTTTCATCTGATATTACAACCATGATTTTGAGCTCATTTGAAATTATAGCTACCCCAATTCCCAAACAAAAACGAAGAATCACTGTGTCAATGATATGTCTATGTTTGATGCTAACTACATCAAAAATACAGCATCGCACAAATGTCTAAAAGTTGGGATTTTATAGTAATACAGTTTTTTCCTAAATTTGCGGCTTCTGATCGATCCTCTGAAATCGCTGTCATTTCTCGTTTTTTGCTTTTTAAAAAGTTCACCTTTCAGACGACAACGACGATAACAGCAGCATCGTTCTGCCCCAAGAAAGTTTCCATACATGCTGGCCAATCAGACGAAAGTATTTGTTTTTAAGAATCCACAAGAGTAACTTCCAGAATACAAGCTGCACCAGTATATTAGACAAAGCCTTTTTCGGGGAAACTGTCTTCCTACGCTCAGCAAAGTCCACAACATGCAGTTTTCTGTGCAGCTTTTTTCTTGTACCATCTTTTCTTTTGCCATGTGGAGTTTGCAATCTTGCAAGCTGCCGATATGGGAGTTGAGTTCTCAGTCGATGAGGTACCAATGATAGTTGAGGAGAAGGACGTACAGCACGAGACTGACTCTTCCCAGTCGTGCTGCTCACCTCCACTGGTTTCTTGTTCTCTTTAATTGGAGTCTTTTCATTCAAACCAGCACTCCACAAGGTTTATTAACTTTACCACTGTTTTCTTTAAATGTATAATCATGACCTAATGAGGGAGAAAAGCTCCTTAGAAGCTCTGTATCCCAGCACGTTTTGTGCAGCAGAACCACAGACTCTAAATATCAATGGACAAGGCCTGAGTGACGTCGCCCATCTGTTCCTGCAGGGGGCTCCGGAGGCTCATCGGCAGCAGCCGCCATGTTGGAAATCCTGTCTCGACCTAACGACAGGCAGAGAGCTGGAGCTGAGGCGGGTTTTCAACCTGCTGTCAAACCGTTACATCGCCCCCAACTGTCAATATTAACCAGCTACACGCCTAATGAAGGATAACACATACAGTTCATGAAATCAAAACAGCTGTGTTGTAAAAAGAAAAATCGCCCTCTGTACGGCGCACGCCCATGAGGACAATAGCTAATCAGAACTATTTTGTTTTTTTGTACCAGTCTGTTAATTATGCTGAAAAAAATGTTTGTTTTTTTTAGCTGTGTTGTGTGTATGGGACTTCCAGTGTTCCTGATGCCAGCCTCAAGTGGACACAAGACCGGAGATTGCCGCTTGAGCAGAACTAACACTTCCAATACACAAAGAATGAGGACAAATGCAGTGGTGGATGGTGAAGGCTGCACTAGTGTTCACGATGACGCATGTCCCAGCATTAATTACTGGTATATTGGTCGCACTGGTGTACAGGACGCAGCTCAAATTTTAGATGTACAAAAAAAAAGTATGAGAAGTGCATCTTAGAAACCAGACTTCATGGTTATTGAACGATCAAACCGTAAAAGTCAAACAGGGAAATCTATTCAAACGTCTCAGTTGATATGAAAGGTCAGATTTCTTTAAAATCTTTAATTCTCAACCTGATACAGAACCCTTTTTCCCCCTCTGTTCTACAGGCATCATGTTTCTCACCTGGCCAGCGCCTGGACCTTGGCCGTGTGTCTCTCCTCCAGCTCCGCCAGCTTCTTCTTCAGCTGATCGGTTTCCTGCCTCAGGCCTGCCGAGTGCTCCATCTCCCCATCCAGCAGGCTGCGGAGAGACCTGTCAAACACACACCTTCAAGTGTAAGTGTCACATCTTTGTCCCCTGTATACACATCGTTAAACGTCTTAAATCTTCTACATTCAGACGCACTAAAATGAAGACACTCCGTTTTTTACATTTATCATTCAAAAAAATCTATTAGATAAACATTCCTAAGCCTCTTTAATCGCCGTATATAAGAAAGTGAGTCACCCGCGTTCGGCTCGGAGATAAAACACTACATCAAAAACACATCTGTGATTGTGATCGCTCTTATTTGAAACGCCTCGCACAAATCATAGCTCATCATTAAGATCTGAACGCAGCTTGGCAGAAGACTCGCACTTATTTATGATTAATCACAGCGGCGTGCAGACACAACACTTTGTGTTTGTTTTTCTGTCATTAGATCCAAATTTGAGTTCACTAAGCTTTTCAGTGTGTGCGCCACAGTCCTCATTCGCAGCTGTTAAATGAGTGTAAATCACAGTCTCTGGTGACTTATTGCTACAAACAAAAACACAAGTAAACAAGTTTCCTGCCCCCGAGTGAGCAGAGCAAAATAAAAAAAAACCTCTCGTCTCAGGATGAGAAGAAAACAAGCCGACACGATTTAGAGGGAAAAGGTCATCTGCTATCTTTTTTCAGTCTGTTCTTGTGCATCTGTGTGTGTGTGTGTGTGTGTGTGCAGCAGATAAGGGGGATATATCTCAACGTACGTGTTTTGTTCCTCCAGCTCGTCTTTCCTGTTCATCATGGCCACGATGGCCTGACGCAGCTCCACTGCAGAGGAGAGAGAGAGAGAGTCTCATTTCTGCACTTCATACAGAAAACACACAAAAGAAAGTACACAACAAATATGAATAAACTAATAACCTCAAGTTCTTTGAAAGTAGAAATAACACAACCCAAACTTTCCAGATTAGAAAGCAGTATTGTTCTCCCGTTCTTAAGATGAACTGCCGTCATAAAATCTTCTTTTTTTTCCCCCGCTGACAGAAGCCTTACAGAGCGATATACATCCAACTCAGAGATCCGACTAACAGTTTTATTGCTCCAGTAGAATAACCTCTTCAGTAGCTACAAAAAACATTTGGAAACAAAACAAACTCATCCCAGATAAATGCAAGGCAGGGGGGAAATACAGGCTTACATTTTCATTACACCGTGAATAAAGAAGAGATTTAAAATAAAAAACTCGGCTTGGAAATTGCAGCGTTCATCATTAACATGTTGTCTTGTGTGACAGTCGAGAACACAGCACAATACTGTGAAGAAAAAAAACGAATTAGATGATGATAATAGTCAGCTCTAAACGTATCATCTGCAGCAGGTCGACTGAGAAATCTTGTATTCACATCATTCAGATTAGAAAGAAAAGAGAAGCAGAGGCATTTTCCTCGTTTTTGCTCGTAAATGGACTTTATTAATCTCATGTCACACCTACACATGCACACACTGTAGGCAGAGGATGCTGTGTAGTGAGACCATCAGAAGTAACTAATCTCATTCATACACATTCATACACCGCCGACAAAGCGGGAGCAAATCGGGGTTCAGTGTCTTGCCCAAGGACACATCGGACATGTTGCTGCAGGAGCTGGGGATCTTGCTGTTGAGAGTTGACCGACTCTACCAACTGAGCCACAGCCACCCCCCCACAAAGGGAGTCTCCTTTCAATGGAGGAGACGGACATCCAGCAGATGTCACCCTTGAGCACCAGCATGAAACCAAAACAACTCGCGCTGCATTGTTGTGTTAGCATGCTAATGCTAGTGATCTTTATTATACTTGTATCTTCACACTGCATGTAAATTTACCTGAAATGAGCGTGATCTAGAAACACAGTTAAGCAGTGAGTACAGTATGTTATTCTTCTTTTCTCTAGTCCCTCAATTAAACAACTTTTATACACAAGGGGAGGAGTCAGCCGGCCATCCCGGCGATGTAAACAAAGTGAAGATAGGACTCTGAAAACTCTGAAAGCATCACAGACAGTGGGACTCGGGTGTTACACCCATTGTAGACAGTCATGACTCACAGAGTTATTTTCAGAGGATATACTTGATTTCTATTACATTCTTCTTTTACAGCAACAGTCATAGGAAGTGCCCGAGTTGTAGTCTTCTCTGACGTTAATCTCCATCCTGATGTTACGGAGTGATTGGACCAGCTGTGTGATGGTACGGTGACTCATCTACATAGTAACGTTTGGAGGTGAGCATGAAGGTTTCAAAGCCCCTAACTAGACCGCTCCCAGAATATCCAAAAATAAAACAAGGAGTTAATCAACCCTGCACTTTGCATCCCAACATTTACACACACAGATGCACACCATGTGCACACCATGTGCACACCATGTGCACACCATGTGCACACAAACACAAGCAGAATCCACAACCTGTTTGTCAACTAATGTAGCCCAGAACACAAGTAGGTCTCCTCCAGCCCCGGGCTAAAAGCCTGGTTAGAGAAGGAGGAGGAGATGGAGGAGAAAGATGAGAGAGAGAATGTGGAGGAGGAGGAGGAGGAGAGGGATGGAGAAAGAAGGAAGTGTATTATCTTCACATCAGGAAGCCAGAAATAAGTGTGACCTTTAGTTCGACCACGCGTTCACAGCAAGTGCCACAGACGAGCCATTAGGGACTTCAGTGGAGCCAAACGCCCTTCTGTCCTCCCAGTGGGACGTGGAAAAATTACAGCACAAGTGTGTGTGTCCGCCCAGAAATATATATATATATATATATATGTGCTCGCAACTGTGTGCTCATATGTGTAAGAGCAACCTTAGGGAAAGAAAAAAAAAACATCAACTGTGTGCATGTGTGTGTGTGACTGTGTGTGCATGTCGCCCCTCCACCGGAAACTACACGCTCTTACTCCATTGTTCCAATAATAGATGCATTAGCAGAGAGCCAGGCCATGTAATCGAGGTGCCTTGTGAATTATAGACTCCATACTCTCCAATCAATGGTCGGCATGGTCCACACGCAGCCACATCCGACTAGAAATCACTGAAGGGTCCCTCTCTCTCTCCAGCAACGTTCTGTTTAGTTCACGTGTTTCTTCAAAGGCAACAAACCTGTTATTATCATTTGCTTTACATAGAAGGTCATATTTCTCTCTCATGTTTGTACTGATTATTCTGATAGTACCTGACTCGCTGAGAGTGTTCAGGTAACTGAGTGATTGTGCATCTCAGATATAATTTTTTAAAGAAAAGGAGTGGTCGAATTCAAACCATCAGACGCAGAAATATCCAGATTTTCTTTGACCCCTGTGTTAGTGAGGCCTAAAAAAAGCACGCTAAGTAGACATTGGTATCTCTGCTTTGGTCACGATGGATTTTTCCAAACGAGACAGGTGGATGAGAGTCAGGAGAGAAGCCCTTTGATACAGAGGGACTGACATCAGACTCCTGACGTTACAGTGATGTGACAGAGTTTCAGGCTAGTTTGACTTCAAACTAAAACCTCCTCTTTGACTGAGGTCAGCTCTTATACATCCCTCGAAGCTCTCAAGGATCTCTGAACCTGGGAGACCATTTCCTCCTGCACTGATCCAGTGATTTTATGATCAGCGGCTCTCTCTCTGCGAACCCTTGGCCTCCTCTTACTGGAGGCTAATAGATTGGATGAAGGGCTCAATTGCAGAGCTTACAGGCAGTGCCACTCTCCTTTCCCCCCTCAACACGCACGCACGCAAAGCTGACTGAAATAGCAGTTAAACAATCACATGCATGAAATGGAGCAACAGGGCCACCTAGTGGATGGTTTAATGTAATTGAGGAGAAATAAACAGAGTGTTGGCACAGGACTAAACTCATAGAATTTAGATCAAATTTAGCTGCAAAGGAAAACCATGAAGTTTGGAAAGTAGGATTTGGTTTGCATCAGCCGTCAGCTGGAAATTTCAAGATGACATTTCAGGACTTCAACTGGATTAATTTACCATCAACAACTTTTTAGCAACACAAGCAGAGACTCAACTGTTTTTTTAAATCCACAATAACCTTTTGTTACCGGTATTTGTTGCTGTCCAAATCTAATGTTAATAACTTTTATTTTTCACTGAAGAGACTGCTGCATCAGGCCCTTCACTTAACAACTCCATTTCTGTTTGATGATGTCACCAGTTGCTGGGCAAATTAAAGCACCATAGCTGCAGTCCATGAGACTGACATCACATTGTGAAGCATCTCTGATTTGAACTTGTTGACATGAAGATGATCAGACTTAAAGGTCACATATTATGCAAAATCCACTTCACCAAGTTTTTCTAACACTAATATATGTCCCCAGCCTGTCTAAAAAACTCTAATTATGAGAAACATCTCTGCCTTTTGCACTTTTCAGAAAATGTGTCCTCGAACAGGCCGTTTGAAGATTTTCCCTTTGTGACATCACAAAGAGCAGTAATCCCTCCCCCAGGTGGGTGCAACTCCAATAGCAAGGTGTTTGTTCTGCCCTCTGAGTCCGCCATCTCACTGTAAACATTAGGGCATGGTAAAAGAAAGCCAAAGCGACCCAAGCCGTTCTAGGGGGCGTGGTCAAACACGGCTCACTAACATTTAAAGCTACAGAAACAGTCTGTTCTCAGCAGGTCTGAAACAGAGGAGATTAAAAGAATGCAAAACTACACCATCAGAGTGGATTTTGGCAAGAGACTTCACAGACATGTTTTGGGGCCCTCTGAGACTTATTTCAACTTGTTGAAAAGGAAGAGAATATGTGACCTTTAAAACTGAGTTTTTGACTTATTTTGAGGATTTGTAGCTCGCCGGTTTCTCTCAGGGATTAACTCATGAGACATGATCTCAGCTCTGGAAAGCTCAACGATGGAGGTGATGAATGCCTTAGATGAAACCAGTATCATTCTAGACATCGTAGTTTGGAAATTTCACCAAAGCTTCCCCTCATGAGTAAGAACTGAATTCATTTTTGCAGTTCATCTTTTTTTGGTATGAGTGATGTTCTGTGGTAAAAACTGTTCAGCTGTGTTGATGCAACCTCGCATCCACGATGATTCTTAACGTTAAACCTGTTTGAGAACAAAGTCAATAAGAAGAGTGGGAGAGTGGGACAGATAGTGAGAAGCTTAGGGGTGGAAGAAGGAGAAAACACTCACCCACTGTCATGGACTCTGGCAGAGCAGATGTTGGCAGCGAATTGGAGAGTGGAGCAGGTGGACTGGACTCCATACTGAAACACACAAAGACAGCAATCAGGAGTTTTGAATCTAAATCAGTTCTTCTACAATGTTATTTCTGTGAAGAGGGTTGAGACTGAGCAAAAGAAGACTGACTAAAAATCATTTCCTACATTGTAAATTATTTGCACATTATTCCTGCGTAAAACGGCGGTAGCTTACTTGAATGTTAGCATGGATCTGCTGCTCTCACAGTTCCCCAGCGGTCCTGTCGACTCGCGCTGAGCAGGAAATGCAGCCGTGTCTTCCACAGAGCTCACTGAAGGAGAGTCAAAGTGAAAGTGAAGACTAGAAGAAAAGAAAGTCCCTAGATTTCATCTGATAGACATTTGATCATTCCACCAAAGCCTGAAGCAGCTGCTGTCAGCAGTACTAAACTTAAATGAGTGAGGAAATTGCAGTTAAGAGTGTTGACGGCAAGTACATAGTAGACATCAGTGAAACTCTTTATTCATAGAGTTATGTAGTGATATTACATCTATGCAACAGCACAGCAGAGGGAGTGATTTTGTCATTAATATCAGCACTTATAGAAGGCCGCCTTGTCCAATGGGTAATATAAAGAAGGCACTGGTGCAGGAGTGTGGTCACAAACTATTCAACTGCTCTTAGAACAGAATTTACAAGGAAGCGTTTTTTTAAGCGGGGCACACACTACAAGACAATTCCCCCCAAAGTCAACAAAGGCCCAACTATCTTGCCAGATTCTCCTGTTGTGTTGGGTGTGTTAAGAGTGATTTTAACCTCCCTGATCTGCTCAAAAGACGATCAGCCCAGATTTGAAATTGTAAATATGAAATGTGTTCAATATTTATGATTTGAAATCCTGTTGTGTAGAAAGAACAGCGAGGATGGCCGAGCATGGACAATAGCCAATAAGGAAGCAAGCCGACTGAAGCAGGAAGCACAACAAACATAACCATGGCAACGACAGCAAACGTGAAGCATAAAGTTAGATGGATGTCATAAATTCATGACCAACTTTTTGATTTGTGTTTTTACGAGTCTGTAAAACATAAAACAATCCAACTAACAGCTAACAGTTAGCCACATTTAGCTTGACCATCATGTTTGTTTATCTTAAATCGTGTTTGACCGAGCAAAATTATACGTTTTGATAGTGAGGTTGTTTGTGAATGAATCGGTTATTGTGTGGCGTGCTCAGTTGGTCGTCTACACACTATAAGAACTGAACTGTTCATCGGCCGCGATTTTGTCGTCATGTTTGGACTCCCTCACATTTTCTAAATCTTTTAGCATGTTCCAGGCCTGTGCAGCATTCTGAGTGAAGCCTTCTGCTTTTCACTCTGACGTTTTCAGGACTGCGTACCTGGCTGATTGTCTGCAGGGTTCAGGGGAATGAGGATGTCTGAGCTGCTGTGGACCTTCATCACCTGTAGAGGGCTCCATGTGGACACTGTGGGCAGGCTGCCGACCATCATCCTGAAACAAGACGACAAGTGGAGACTGAATGAAGTTCCTTTCACTAAGGTGAGGGGTTTGAACTCAGCAGCAAGTTTTGGGATGGACTCCACTCACTCCCAATGAAACAGGAACTTTATATAACCTTGAATTTATGTCACTCAAATAATAAGTTGTCCACTTAAATAGCTTTACGCAGACTCATTTAAATCACCTCACCATGAGAAAAAAAAATTGGTGGCATTTCTTTTCCTAAAATCTTTTTCTTCTGATGTTTATAAGGTGATTCGTTTTTGAAGTCCCTGTTAACCTAAAATACTTCACAGTCACATTAAACACACGCACAGTTTCAAGACTAATGTAGTGTTAATTAGACTTTGATTACAATCTCAACTTTTAGATTTTTACATCTGTATGATGCTAATATTTGATTTCAATTAAAGGTTTTTAAGTTTGTGCTGGTGATAACATGGAATTTTTATGCATGGTGCGTCTCCAGTATCTAACAAAAGAGGTGTTAAACTTGCTCAGTGAGCCAGAATCAGTGCAGACTCACTGTTGGAGGGTTTAATAACCCACTCTCCCTCCACCCTCAGGTTTCGAACGACACTAAATGTGGTAGACGCTCCACATGAGCATGCAAACAGAGTGGAAGTGTGAAGGGAGCGGGTGGTGGTTTGAGAGAGGCTCTCAGAGTTTTAATGTGGCTCCACCTCGGTCAATCGCAAACATCTGACATCAAACCTCGATTGTCTATCACAGAGACATCATAAAAAAATCTGATACTTTAAGGGCCACTCAGATTTTATGGACATAATCTCTGCTCCCATAATGCTTTTATGAATGGAAACAGAAAGCTTTTTATAATCATGGATTCAGTGCAGAAGCTGTTTAATAAGATGGACGGGAAAAACATCCCTGTGGAAGTGAAGCCAAAAGATTTAGAGCTCCCCTGTCGACTGGCTACAGTATCATGAACCCCGCCTCCTCCACTAGCTCTGCCAGTGCATAATATGATAGATAAATAAAAAATTATTATAAAAAAGCAGTGTATCAGCTGTTAGCCATTGATGTTTGAAGTCTCATATGCACAAACTAGGATTCTAGGATTATTTTAATCCTGATGTAAAAAACACAAACATCATTATTTCCCGGAAAGTACTGGAGTCACAAAGAGATTTTTTTTTATTTCTAAGATTTTCTAAAAAAAATTCATGCACCAGAGATAAAATAAAAATTCTCAGAAAGTTTTACTGAATCTAAAACGTAGACAATCATGTGTGCGAGCTGTGGCTGCTTCTTCTTTTACCTCTGCCTTATTTTTTTCTTTCCGTCCTACAACCCCGTGGGGAGCTGTGCCTCAAGCTTTCAAATCTCTGCTCCCTCTTGTGTTATGAATAAATGTTATTAGCAGAGTAATACACTTTCAATTTTGATTGGAAAGTGGACCTAATATTTATGGCCCATCTTTCCTGATCCAGATTTTAAAATGGAAATGTTTGGGCGTCTGTAGCCTAGCGGTTATGGCCTAGCGGTTATGTTGCGTGCCCCATGCAAAGAGGCTACAGTCCTTGTTGTAGTGGCTGTGGGTTCAAATCCGACCTCGGGAATTTTCTGCAAGTCATCCCCCACTCTCTCCTCCAAACATTTCCTATTTCTCTTAAGCTGTCATATACAATAAAGGCTAAAATGGTCCAAAATAATATATTTAAAATGTGAATGTTTCCTCCTGCATGCTGTGTGTATTTGTTTTTCAACTAACAAACACTTTCATTTTGCAGAGGGAAGCTCTCTTCATGGTACTAATCACCTGCAGCAGCCCATGATTTGACAAGTCAACAAATAAAACAGAAATATGAGCGCTTCTTAATGAAAGCTGTCATTTTTAATGATCTTTTTTTTCCACATAAACTTGTAAATAATCTCCTTGTGTATTGTACCCTAAGCCCACAATATCTGTCAGAGCGATATGAAGCGTGAGAGTTATTTGTTTGATTATCTGGATTTGAACTCGAGCATTGTGACTCACTGATTAGAGCTCATCCTCTCCTCCTCCTCCTCCTCCTGCTGTTGTGCTTTGGGTTTGTATATCTCCTCCTCTTCCTCCTCCTCATCATTGTCTATACTCTTACTGTCGGGCAGAGAGGTTGCAGTGTGGGGTGGAGCGTGGCAGGGATGAGGGGACCCCACCCAGCTGACAATGCCAGGCTCGTCCAGGCCGTTCTGGGCCGGCGACTCGGAGAAGTCGGGCTCCAGAGGGTCTACCCCTTCCTCCACGCTGCTCTGAGCGGGAGCGGTGTGGCTCTTCCTCATCGCTGCAGTCTTCTGGGAGTCCTCCTCCCCCTCCTCCTCGTCCTCCGCCCCGCCGTCCAGGTCGTCATCAAAGGAGATGATGTTGGTGATTTTCTTTTTCCTCCGGCGCTCTTTCCTCAGCCCGGAGTCTGGGTTTGAAAAGATGAAAAGGAATCACAAAAAAACCCAAACCCAAACTTGTGAAACAAAGTGAAACTGAAATATATGAAGGACTTGTCTAGAATGGTTCCTGGTACTGTTTCTGTTGACATCAGTATCCAAAGGTTTTACCAATTAGGCCTGTAAAATAGCATTTCTAATAGAATATGCTTCATCTTCTCTCTGGTTTTCTTGTTTTCCTGGCTGTGCATCAGAGGGTCCTCTCACAGTGAATTAACTAAACGCAGCTTAAAGTTTCATTAAAACTGTAACTGAAAATTCACATAAGAACAGGTTCTTCTTTGCATCTGTCATGTTTGATGTACTGAAAATCTTCCCCATCAAGGCTTCTGTTTTTGGGCAGCTAATAAATTGTTTGCAGGATGGGCGGATTGTCTTGCAAACTGGATGATATCATATATGAATATTAAACATTTAGAAGTGTTTGAGAGGCATTTTGAACACTTGAATTGGTATTGAGAAGCTCGACAATGCAATATCAAAACATCGTGTTTGCATTCCCCGTATGTTAGCTCCAGAGGAATTAAATACACCTTAGAACACCCCTAAAAAAGCCCAGAGAGAGAGGCGCCGGTGACCTGTGGCTCCTTTCCAACATGTCGTACCCTACTCTCTCTCCCAGGTTTCCAACTTTATTCACTCTCCTATATCTAAAGATGAAGGCAGAAAAAGCCCAAAAATGAATCTTAAAAAAAAAAAAAAACACCCAGAGGTTGATGCCATTGAAATTCTTTCAAACAAGGTTTAGATTTTATTCTTTGGAAAACTCCTACTTTAGTGTATTCCCTAAAAAGGGACCCACGCTCAAGAGGATCTGTTGCATTACTTAAAAGCCGATGTTTCGTACCAGCAGAGGTGCTGCGTGGCACGACGGGCAGAGGGTCTGAGGCTCCCTCCACTCTGGGACTGAAGCCCGGCACCACAGCTGTGGCCGTGCTGATCTCCCTCAGCAGGCTGCTGACGCCCTGAGTCGACTCTTTCCAGAGGCTGCCGATGCCCTGCGTCGACTCCTTGAGGAGGTGGGACACCGAGGAGCCCCCTCCTCGCGTCACCCCTCCGTTCAGGTCGCTGTTGTCGATGTTGATGGCAAACAGGATAGAGTTCAGACCTAAGAGTAAAAGCAAAAATGTCCTCTATTACAGATCAGCGTGAAACTTCCATAAAGTGCTTTGTAAGCTTTTCTTGGTTCACGCAGCAAAACGAGGCGATGTGAGATGAACTCTGGCTTTCTGCTTGTGCATAATAAAAAACGAGACGCCTCTGGCATCAGATCAGTGGTTTGTGTTCTTAATATTTTACAGTTTTGCTCATCAATACTTCAACAGTGAGAGCACGGCATTAACACATACACCCACCCAATCCAGTTAGGGTAAATAACTCAAGTGCAAAGTCAGCTGATAATTTGCTTTAACAGCAGCTTTGTTAGTGTGAGGCTTGTTTAAAGTTCAATAACAGTGAAAGTGAGGCTGGTGTGAGATTTATAAATGTATTCAAATGAAGACACAACATTCCTGTTTTTCAGATCATTAGCACTGCTCAGACAGAATAAAACATAGACTGCCATCAGGGTAGTGTTGGAGAAAATAGGTCATAAACACAGGGGTGTCGTCTCTGTTTATTTGTCATTCATCAAAATCAGAGGATCAGCAATTTCTTTAATAATGGTTCATTGCTTTTTACTAGGAGGAGTACTGATGTATGCTTCGTGTTTTTGTCTATCTGCGCTGTCAGTTCTTTGGATCAACTGTGTTGTGTGCAAAGTGCAATATAAATAAAGTTGGGCTGTACATTTCAGGTGCTGTGTTTCAGGGTTTAAAGAGGACATATTATACCCCTTTTCAAACAGTCCCCTGTGGTCTAAATGAAACATCTGTGCTGTGCTTTGGTCAAAATACAACATGAATCAAGCACCAGAGGAGGTTTGTGACCCTGTATAAACCAGCTCTCTCAGAACGCTCCGTTTTGGTGTGTATGTCTCTTTAAATGCAATGAGCCCCCCTTGAGTTTTCCTGGTAGACATCACTCATTTGCTAACGAGAATAAAAATGGCGGAGCTGCGCAAATGTTTTGCTCTAGGCTGGGGGTGGAGATATCAGGGGATATTTTTAACCGGAATCCCACTGTGATGTCACAAAGAGTGCAAATTTGAAATGGAGCATTTTTCTCTGTGTTGTAAGACTTATGCAGACTACAAACAAAGGACTGGATGGATTTATTTCACATTTTGTGGGTCAGTAGACACTCAGGTTACCCGAATACTGTATATGTTCAAAAACACAGTGAAAGTGAATTTTCCACAATATGTCCCTTTTAAAGCCTGTGATGGAGAAAACAGATTGTCCAAATGTAGATCTACGTTGTTGTATGTTACAGATATCATTCACCGTGCTTCTTGTTACTGTCCCCTCTTTACTACCAATTATCTTTTCCTGTGTTTTAGCATAGCTAAAGTCGCGCCCACCTGTCAATCTATGGATAACACGTATCGTTCATCAAATGAAAACAGAGCCGTTTCAAAAATAAATCATCCCCGTACAGTGTGTGCCCATGATGACAATAACTAATCAGACCTATTTGGTTTTTTGTACCAGGCCGTAAACATGTTTATTTATGCTGTAAAAACTGCATTTTTGCTCTGTGGTGTGTATGGGACTTCTGTTGTTCCTGGAGCCAGTCTCAAGTGGACAGTTGACGAACTGCAGGATTTTGTACTTCCACATTGGCTTCAATTTCCAAGGCCGGAGATTGCAGCTTGGTGTTGACTTATCTCACATGGGGCATAAAAAAACTAATTTTTAACATGTTGCTAATGTGGTTAACGTTTAAGCCGAAGTATTAGCCCCTTGCGTTACGATACAAACTCACCTGCTGCCATTGTGGGGAGCATACTAGCCCTCTCTTCGTCCAGAATAAATGCCCAGTCTTCATAGTAAGTTCTAAAAAGGAGAAAAAAAGACGACTTAACATTTCTAATCACAGTGAACCTGAGGAAATACCAGCTGTACAGGTAACTTTCTGGAGATTTTTGGGGGGTGTTGGCATAACTAGCAGCAAAAAAAGAAACATTTTGTCACATGAAAATTGAAGGGACAAAAGTTATGGTGATTTCCTCAATAACAAATCATTAATGAAATTTGCACAAACATATGAACACTGTACTAACCCGAGGCGAGGGCGGTCAGCCAGCAGTGTGTGCAGGTAGCGCTCCAGTGAGTGCTCATTGAGGGCGCAGCGCAGCCAGGCTCGACCTCTGCCCAGCTCCGAGGAGATCTGACGAAGGGAGTAGAAGCGCTGCAGCTCGTGGCGGTTCAGATGCTCTTTTACATAGAACCAGAAAGTCAACTCTGGTGGAGGGGCGTCATAAAGAGAGAGGGAAGTAAAAAATGGTGAGACAAAAGAGTGACAGAGGAGAGTTTAGGAGGTGTAGAGAGAGATGAATGGACAGGAAGAAGAAATGTTTGAGGGCAGAAAAAGAGGAGTTGGAGAGGATTGGAAAAAAAAAAAGGAAGGGGGAGGACAAAAAGGTGAGAGTCAGTCATCTCATATGTGGAAAACAACAGTTCTTGAGTTAATAATTGGTTCAGAAGATCAGTGAAGTAGTTTCAAAACCACTTCTGAAATTCTTACACAGCACATCTCTCATTAACAAATCTCCACACCTCCTCCCACCACCTGTCACCGCTGCATATTTAACACTCACATATTTTCATATTCTAAAACACATGGATAACAGTTTATGTGTGGCTCTGTTTTAATGTTAGGTTTCCTGAGGTAACGTAATTCTCCTTTTTTTTTTTGTTGCTTGCGATTAGCATATAACCTCAGAACAATGTGTTAAAAAATAATGGCTGCTATTTCTGGTTTTGTCAGAGGGCTTGGCTTCATTAGGGAGCCCCTTCTCCATGAGTTCAGCCACAGTCCTTTCTTCTTATTGTCTGTGGACTAAAGGAAAATGTCAGATATGCTAATGGTTATGTCATGATGGCCATGACAGAAGAAGTGCATTTCTTCTTCTTTCGATTTAATAGCCATGAGGTTCTTAAATATGACATAGTAGAAACAATTTGTCCTGATGTGAAATTAATCACTATTAGTCAAGAGAATGGTCTTTTTAAAGTCAGATCACTTCAAATAAAAATGAATCTTGAAGGTTTTTAGACTGCTTATATGCTAAAAGGAAACCACCAAGCAGTGTAAAAGAGGCGCTTGTTCCCCGTGGTATTTCTTTTTATGAGTGTAAAAATCTGAATTTTCAGCTCTTTTCAAAAGCCAATACATTTAATTATCTACGCCTCCTTACCATATGTCCACTTCATTAGCTAAATGGCTAGATATTAAAGGCAGGTTTGGTAATTTTCTCCAGATACCCTTTTTAAGATTTTGGTTGAAATTGTCTTTAGGTCCTGACTAATAATTAAGGTAATTTGAAAAAGAAACAACGAAAATCCGTCATCTGTAGCAGTTGTAAGAGTGTAAAAACTTTGACCAATGTCTGCCACGAGGTAGCAATCTGATGAACCAATCATCGTGCCTTCCTGGCTCTCTGCTCGTTCTCTACCACATGCATGCACGAGGTGGTCTTGACCGGCTTTGATTTAAAATCTGGAGTCCACCCAGTTTGAGACCAACACAAGACAGAGTAAAAATGCTTCTGATTCCGAGACGAGACCGAGACTGATTTCGAGTACTACAACAATGGTATCTTGTACTGCATGTTGGCTGAATTTTCAGAACTTCATTGCAACTTTATATGAACAATATATAATTTCATGGATTAATGAAGCAAAAGTTCTTTTTTACAGCTGCACCAGGACATCAATTGTAAACATTCTTGATTTCCCCATCCTTCCACAAGCCTCAGACTGCTGAGCTTCTTACCTTGTATATCAAGTAAACGTCTGTGGGTCTGAGTATTGTTTGAGCACACAACAAGCATGAGACAGAGAGACTGAGGTGTGTGTATACAGACAGGTGAGGAGAAGAGAGTAAGTGAAACAGGGAAGTACAGACCTGTACATGCCTTTTAAAAGAGTAAGCCCTTTTTGTGGTCCATCTGGTCTGACAACAAGTACATGTTACCAAGGTAGCAACTTAACAACACATACCATACGGTCTGTTAAAGGCTTTATATGTGATTTTTCACACTTAAATGTAATAGAAATCAAGTATATCCTCTGAAAATAACTCTGTGAGTCATGACTGTCTACAATGGGTGTAACACCCGAGTCCCACTGTCTGTGATGTTTTCAGAGTTTTTTTTCAGTTTGTTTACATCGCCGGACCGACGGCTGACTCCTCCCCTCACGTATAAAAGTTGTTTAATTGAGGGACTAGAGAAAAGAAGAATAACATACTGTACTCACTGCTTAACTGTGTTTCTAGATCACGCTCATTTCAGGTAAATTTACATGCAGTGTAAAGATACGAGCATAATAAAGCATTAGCATGCTAACACAACAATGCACCGCGAGTTGTTTTGGTTTCATGCTGGTGCTCAAGGGTGACATCTGCTGGATCAAAAAATCACATATAAAGCCTTCAAGTATCATACCTGCTTCAGTCTTGCTGCTGAAGCCTGCAGCCTGCTTCAGAGCGGCGGCGGTGAGGGCCAGGCCTCGGCTCTTCCTCAGACCATGCTGCAGCACCGCTTCAAACTGAGCACACAGACAGATCACCCTGCAGAAACAAAGACACATGGCTGTGTTGAACTACTGAGTTATCATTCACAGGTCTGTGTGAATGGTACATTTACAGTGCTACGAGAATGAAAATGTTCTTTTGATGCTGCTTGAAATTACAGGAGTAGTGTTGAATTTGGTGTTGTTCTGATTTTAAACTAGGAGAATCTTAGTTCAGTGAGTCATAGAATAATTGATATGCCAAGGGCGCACTCACTAAGTAATCTGCACCCCGCCCAAGCATGCTTGACCCCCTAAGTCCAGTTCCTTTGACTAGTGTGAGTGTTTCATTCTGTGCCCAGCCAAAGGTGGATTTCCTTTGCCCTGGCACAGTCTGAACAGGTGTACTTAGGCATGGTAAATTCAGGAGTGTTTAAAGGCTGTATCTGACAAAAAGACTCAACAAGCCACAAATAGTCAGGAAAGTTGCAGTCAAGTTTCTGTGTTCTTCTCCGCTGTTAGACCAGAGGAAATTCACCGTGCCCCAACCGCTGTTATATATCTATGGCCGCTATTTCACAGCTACCGGAAATGTCAAGGTGGAGGGGGGAGGGGGTAATCATGCTTTGGCATGGTATCGGACAACTGGGCCTAGTGTAAGTGCACCCTAAAAGATCCTTAGTCAAAAAAGCTTTAATTATGATTCAAGAACTCTAGTTACAACCTCAAATTAAATAAAATAAAAGAGTATGAGGGGTTGAACATTTTGATCAATTATTTCTCCCTGAAAGGTAGAAGTTTTGGATAAACCAGGCTGGTAGTACATAAAGTTGATGTGTACAGCATTTGTCCTTTTTAGAACCGATCTCAGTTGACATGTTAATGATAAGTCTGATATGCACGCTATAGTACGCCATGGAGTTCCACAAGGTCTAGTGCTTGGACCGAATCTCTAGTGATTAGAATCACTAATATTATGAAAGAGAACTTTTCTTTAGCCAAGACATTTAGGAAACAAACTGCAGAGCTCTTAGTCAAAGAAATAGTTACAAATCATTTTGGAGTTTAAAGAATGACCCTGGCCATACATACAGGATAACCCCACACACACACACACACACACGCACACGCACACGCACACGCACACAGACTTTTGTGCTAATAGGTGGCTTGTCTTACCTGCTATCTGAGTCTGTGGCGATCTCTTTTCTCCCTCCAAAGCGGATTTGGCACTGGGAAGAAACAACAGGAAAGGTAAAGAAGTCAAGGAGCCACAGATTACACAAAGTAATGCTTTAGTAAAGAATACTGGTGATGCAGTTTGTGGGATATTTTGCTTTAAACGAGACGTCCAGCAGCCTATTTTAAAGCTGTAAAGTTTACAGTCATATTCATAAAAAGCAGAGTTGGGCAAACGTTGCCTTCATTTTTTTTAAATAATTTTTAACATGGATGTTCATTTTAAATAAAACTTTTAACTTCTAGTATATTTGGTTTCCATTAACGCCCAAACCTTCTCTTACATGGAAAGATTGATCAACGACAACCTGAGCAAGGGCATTTCGCCTCCTGTACTTTAGAGAGCTTATCTAATAATGAGCCCAAATCCCTGTCTCTGCCCCAGGTGCTTTTATTTTGAAATGCTCCCAGACCGGCAGCTAGAGTGAAGACAATGATGATATATTTCAAAAAGGGTCTATTTTGTCAAAACAGACACGTGTGTAAATTTGAGTTTTTTAAGTCATCATGACCTCTTAAGAACTGAATTTATTGACATTTAAAAGACAGTGATGTTTACGTTGTTTTTTTTCATAACACAGTTTAACTTACTGTTCATTTTTTACCTCTGACAAAGAAAACAAAGGATAAAGCATCAAAGTCAAAGGCAGGGTTGGCAATTTTCTAAAACTAGCATGATTTTGAATGTAGCATTCCCTCAGTGCTCCATCTCTTTTAACGAGCATGTATAATTTGAGCTTGGTTGCAAGTCTTAGTTTTAGTATTTTGCAAGATTGGAAACTTGTTGAAATGCAAAAATTCAAATACAAATCTTGAACAACCACAACTGTACGCAAAAGGAAAAACCACTAAGAATATGTGTCAGCTTGTGTCAAAGATGAAAGACATTTTCTCTGTGCTTTTATTTGAGTTTGTTTTGTGAACAAAACAGTTTCTGTTTCTTATCGCCCGTTTAAAAAGCCAAGATTTCATTTTTATTTCAGTCGACTAACAATGTTTTGTAACGATCCATTTGTTGTTGACAGTTATAACATTGGTTTGCAGAGATGCACACACCATGAAAAGCTTCCAGATGAAAACTTTGACAATAGGAAACCAGTCCAGACTAGTCCTGATACTGGACACAGTTCCCACTTTCTCTTTCACTCTATGCATACAAGTTAAACCAAGAAGAAATCTACCATTGTCTTTGCTCAAGTGCAAGTTGTACTCTGTGATTCTTTAACACCATTTTTAAAAACAGAATATAAAAAAACTAAAAGGTATTCACACACGGCGAACGTTGGCCAGAGTTATGTAATGTTCTTGTTGAATGATTAATGCAAACACTGCACACGTTCAGAGGACAACATGTTTAACACACAGCTTTGAATGTGTACCTTTCTTAGTTTTTCTGTAAAATGTTTCACACATGAACAAAACTCCTGAACATTGGGACACCAGTAGCTTCGTGGTTAGTATGTGCTTACAACCCATGTAGAGAGGCAGTACTCAAGGCAGACGGCCTGGGGCTCTTTTCCTGCATGTCATTCCCCACTCTCTCTCTCCCTCCCTGATTTCTGACTCTATCCACTGTCCTGTCTCTCAAATAAAGGCACAAAAAAAGCCCAGAAATAAACCTTTAAAAAAATACCATGTGAGAATGTCTGAGCAGCATGTGTGAACGCAAACAACCACATTTTTCTTCTTTTTTTTTTATCCAGACTTTTTTTCCTGAAATGAAAATCTTTTTTCCCAGACATTCAACGTTCAAGGTTGACAATTAAATTCACAGAAATTCATAAATATCAATACAAATATGCCCTTTCACAAATAGCAAAATATCATCATGAGGTTCTCTTTTCGACATTGCATGACAACAAAAGGTGAAAGTTTGGAGTGTTTAAGACCTACGCCTTTTATGAAATGAAGTCTGAATCTGATGTGGACGTTCTCTGCCACATTAAGAACATGTATAGTGCCGGTGACTGACCTGTTTGACTGCATCCAGTAGCCTCTCCAGGAGGTGCTGTCTCTTGGTATCACTCTGCTGAGTGCCTGCTGACACAGACAAACAAAAGGAAGTTACACTCCATCAATTCGAGGAGGCAATATGAAAGTGACTGGATCACAGATTAAATGTACCAGTAAGTGCTTATTCATGTATCAATTATGCATGACATGGAGTAGAAGGAAATGGACGGCTTAAGAAAGGGATGGGCGATGATGTCAGCATAAATACACGGCTTACGTTTGTTTAAAATCGAGACGTCTTTTTCTTTTATTAGTGCAACTTGACAAAACTCACCTGACTGTATCCTGCATGCACACAAGGACTCTGCCTTTAATATTTACAAATTGCACTCAATGCCCCTCGAGCTGCAGGACCTTTCTTTTTGTAAATGTCCCGGCTTTAATAACGTTTGTTATGCTGCTACGTAGAAGATAAAACGATGTGTGGATCAATGGATTAAATGTCGAAAAATAACTATAATCTGAGAAACTTTTGATAATGTTGTCAAGGTTACTCTTCACATAGAATCCCAACGACTCTTTTGTTGGAGCTTCTCCACAGCCTGCATTAGACTTGGATTCACTTGGATTGGAGAGCCATGTATCCCTTCATTTCACTTGGATAAAAAAAAAAAAGTGTGAATAAAGTTTTCATCTTAAATATAAATATAGAAAACAATATATAGTCAAGACGACACTAACAGAGACCAGAGTGATCTGAGACTGAGACATTGAGGGATCTATACCCAGACAAGGCCAAGACCATAAATATCACTGAGAAATCATCCTCTTGTGTGCAGGGGGGCGTGTCTCTCACTTTGACTGTAACACCGGGAACTGTAAAAACGACCATAAAATCCAGAGTCCGCCCAGTCTGAGGCCGAGACGAGCTTCAAAAAGTGGTCTTGAGACTGATTTCGAGTACTACAACACTATAGTATATAGACACCAGGACTGCTGTTTACTTCCTGTGTATGTTCTCTCCATTCATGTATTCTGTTTCTGTGTTTATCGGAATGAAAACACTTTCCTGATCCTAGGTTTGTTATCCCTTTAGGATTAATATAAACAGACTTTTTCATGATTACTGACGATTGTATTGTCTCATTGAATGATTGACAATCAAAGAGTACTCAAATGAACAATTCAAATACTGGTTAGCTTCTACCTTAGTTTTGCAATAATCACAATAATTTAATTGCAATTATTGTCTTTATTCAAACAGTTTCGATTTTACCGACTATCAAGGCACAGCAAGCTAGTTTATTCTTCAAGTTTCTTCTTCCAGTATTTATCAAACTCTTTACGAATCTTAATGAGCAGTTTTCCCATTCTGTCAAAGTCACACTTCCAGCATGTCATTAGCACACTTCAATGACCTCAAGGCTACTTACAGCATTATGTTTACCTGTTACTTTAAGACAAAACTACCAGGTGTTGTAAAGTTTGTCCCAGTTAACCTTTGAGCCTGAACCGAACAGTATTCAGACATCAGAAAGACTCCCATAAAGAGCATTCATAGATATCAAGAGTGAAAGAAAGGACATTGAAATAGTGTTACATTGATTTTATCTAACTGAGGAAAGATGTTTTCCTTCTACTTGTTAATCCATCAAGCTTTGGTTGAGCAGAAAGCCTTTTTCATGGATGTAAACACTGGGGAAGAATGGCTGCAGAGTCAGCAGGAATCTCTAACTCACTGTGTGAAGTCAGGAGCTGCTAACAAGTGACTGAGTCCACTCTTTCATGCATGATTTGACATGTTGTGCTTTTATGGAAGAGGAACAAGCAAAAGGTAATTGACGACTTCACTCACCGTTCATCCTGACAGCAAAACTTCGTTAGCATTGACACCCAAGCTCAACAGTTCACCACAGATATGATTCCTCTTTTTTTGTTCCTGTAGCTTTTGAAGAGCAGAGGCTAGCTGTGCACCGGGACCATGCTGCCTCTGAAGCCGAGCTGGACCCACCCAACCGCGGCGTGTGGACTGATGCTCACACGGTGAACAGAGAGGCCTGCCGGGAAGCCGCTGGGGCTGTGAGTCTACCACAGACTGGCATGTAAGTCCTGAACAAAGCCCGACGAGCAGTAAAACTGAACCAAACACCAGTACGAGTGTAAATGAAGAGCCATGAAGTCACTCGTCTGAAACGTTGTGGAGCATTAAGGGAAGCAATGCTTTCAGTTTGGTGCCTGTAGAAGGGAAACGGGAAACTGAGTACTAACTGAGCCGTGTTACGGTCACATGACAAAACACACAGTGGTCATATGACAGGAAAGGCCTAATGGGACTTGTAGTTCTTGTAAAGGTGATGCGGAAATGCAAAAGTAGTTCTCTTTCAACATTTGTTTCGATATCTCACTATGGGACACGCCCCTCGAGCTGTCCCCATAAGCAATATTACATTACGTGACGTGACGTCTGTATCTGTATCATTTAAATCAGGGGTGTCCAAAGTGCGGCCGAGGGCCATTTGAGGCCCTTGAGGGGATTTTTTGCAGCCCGTGACTTCAAATGAAGAATCAGAAGATTTTGGCCCGAGGCCTTTTTCATGTTAACAAGGGCTGAACAATATTCCTAAAATAGAAAATGTTCAGTAACATGTATGTTCTTGTTTTTTTTGTTTTTTTTAAATCTACAGCTTTTACTATTTTCCACATTTTTTTGTAAACTATGAAAAAAAACGTATGCAAAGTTTTTGCAAACAAGCGGACTGTTGTTTAACCATTTAATGACCTGAGCTAAATGCAGAAAGCTTTTCCAAAAAAATGAACCACGTTACAGGATTGATTCTGAGAAAAAAACAAATAAAGTATAACGAAGATATCAAAATATTTCTTTTTACTAAAGGGTTTATTTAGTGAGCCTTTTGATTCTGATCTACAAAGCCTTACTATTTTTTCAACTATATTTTAAAAAACAAAACCTGTGGCCCGCGAGTGATTCTAACATGACAATTTTGGCCCTAGTGATGTGAAAAGCAGTTCTTTTCAGTGTACTGAATCAGTAGAATCAGTTCAGTCAAGTGATTCGTTCAAAAGATTCGTTCACCGAATCGTTCAGTACTTCTCTGCAGCTCTGTCTGTGAATCAGAATTTAATAAACTGAAACACGGCCGAACGTTTAGTTCTGCTCGCGATCGTACTGAGAACAGCCGGTGGTGAATAATAAACCAATGAGCTGAAAATTTAGTTGGATAAAGTTACAGTTTGCAAACTGAAAGCTGCTAAAACGATCACATTTATTTTCCCCGACCGTTCTGTTCAGTACGTTCAGTACACAAATCACTCACTGACTGTCTGACTGAGAGGAAGAGAGTGACTTGGAGGTGGAGCACTCGTTCAGTTCGTTCAGTGAACGTGAACGAGCGAGACTGCGAGTCACCAGCCTCAGTCTCACACACACACACACACACACACACTGTACTGACTGAAACACGATCATTAGTGGATGTTAAAACAGTCAGCTGAGTGAAATTATGTTGGATATAAAAGCCATTTGTAAACTGACAGCAGCTATAAAAAGCACATACATTTTCACGACATCTAAATGTTAAATAATATATTTTCTACTTCCTCAATTTTGGAGACATGAGAGGGAGAAGTAGAGACGGGCTTTAGTGACACAGAGCTCCCGACCGACTCCGTCCTGTTGGTTCAGTCAGTACATATCACTAACATGAAAGAGAGAGGGAGGGCGGGCTTTGAGCGACTCTTACGGTCTAGACTCTAGAGAGAGACGGGAGAGCGCAACTGAAGTTGAGAAATGAACAACTCTTTTCAGTAAGTGATTCAGTTCAGTTCGTTCACCCAGATGATTCGTTTGTTTTGAACGAATCGTTTATGACCGACACATCACTATTTGGCCCGCAAAAAAAAAAAGTTTGGACACCACTGATTTAAATGTTCCTCTGAGTACAGTTTGTGTATTGAGTTATGATGAACATATACCACAGAATCTGTAAATTTCTCCAACTTTCACATTTTTCGACCAAAACTACATAGTGCTACTTTAAATGGCCCAGGCGTACATACATTTTGGAGGCATGGGAAATTGGCAACACAGAAACCAAAGCAAAGTGGTGAACTGAAGCCTGCAGAATGTGATGCCTTACATCGTATTTCACTAAATATCAAACTTTACTGACAAATCATGTCATCATTAAAACCGCGCATGTAGTGAGCGTTTTACAATATACAAACGTACTGACTTATATGGTAACTTGTGATTAATTGATTAACTTATTTGGCAAAATTCGTGCATGATTCATGACAGGTGCAAACTAAATCACAGGAAAAGTTGTCACCACTGCTTTTCCTCCACCAAGAAAATATATCATATTAGTAATATTATAAGCTACCTACCTTAGAGACCAGAAAAATAACCAGGCTTGTTTAAATATTTAAAATTATAAATAAAGTTATGTGACTAAATCTACAGAAAATGACAGTCCCAGTGATCAATAAGTATCAAGTAGCTGCTGCCTTTAGTTTCTCAAAGGAAGAAAAGGCAAGAATATCAGTAGAAGAATGCAAGAGTAAGCATCTGCGCTTTCACTTCAACCAATCCTCATGGCTTCCTATTACCAAAATACCTACAGTTAGGTCTGGCACTATGGGGAAATTAAATTTCTGATGGAATTAAGGGAAATTACCAAAACCTAATGGTTGTATCAGTATTAAGAGTATTATTACAACCCTGTTTCACAGTATAATGTTTTCCAAAGTTGAACCTCTATTTTGTAAATAATCAACATGAACTAGTATAGCTATAATGAAAACAATGAGCAGAAATCAAATTAAACTGAACTTTGATTTATTTAAAAAAAAAACAGAGCTAAAGACTTGGAAAATATTTATATTATTTAAAATCTATCTATAACATTTTATATTTATATAGGTTTATTTACGTTTTATTTTACAAAAAAAACCAGCTGGGAGTTCCTGCTGTGATGTATTGCAGGATAAACCTGGCTGTTCCTGTGCTGCACAGCCGGAAACACTGCCCGTTTTTCTGGTAATGCTGTTGAGCCTTCTCAACCAGGAAATGGAGACACTCTTCTGGCTGGCAAGTGGTCGTCTCCAGAGTGTTCTGGATCCATTGCCCCACTGTCCACTGCATTGTCCAATGACAGGGTTTGCAGGGCAAGTCACACATACTGCTGGTCTGAAGGTATCTCCTCCAGGGCAGACACCTCCGGAGACATCTGGTCATGCCAGGGAGCACCACTGACTGCCTCCAAACTATCCTCACCCTGATTCTTGGCCCCATCCTCCTCAGGCTCATCCACTGGGGCCACGATGTCACCAGCCCCAAGGCAGATGTTGTGGAGGATGGCACATGCTGTTATGACCTGTCATGGTAAAATGGTGAGAAAAAAAAAGAAAAAAAAAAGAAATACATGTGAAAAAAATTAATCCTCCTGTTTGATTTACTATTCTTAAGTATTGTAAAACATCCTATTCAGCAATTACTTACATGTGGTTCAAAGGTGCACCAAACCTTGATCTTCATTCCAAAAGCACACTCTATAATGGAGCGTACCCTGGAGTGATGGTCGTTGAAGCGCTGGGCTCCCACACCTCGCACTGGGCGCTTGTATGGAGTGTTGAGGGGAAGTGAGTGTTGGAGGCACAGGTACAGATGAACCGACCTGGAGTAGGGTTAAGTGCATGCCTGTAGAGTGGGCTGTGGCGGAGCACTCTTGCATCATGCACAGACCTAACCCATATAGGTGTCAGTGAAGCGGCCTTGATGGTCACAAACAGCCTGCAGGGTGATAGAAGGGAACAGTTGCCCTGACTGCAGGTAATAAAACTTGACTGACGGTAAACTCCGTCATGTTACGGATTGTTATTTCCCTTGTATTTTAATCTTTGGTTGGGTAAATAAAGTTGCACACCAAAGCCTAAAAACAACGGTTCTCACTGATGTTCGCTACCACAATAAAAGCCTCATACACCGAGCGGACTTCATGTAGCAGATAGCATTTCTGACTGTAGGCTACATTAAAATGCCACACAGATTCAAAACTACACTTGTGTTACAGGATTCAGATAAATGCCTGACATTAAAAACAGCAGTTTGCCTGTGAAGGTACGTCATAAACCTCCATTCTGATCGACTGCTCGTCCATGAACTGTACCGTGCAGAAGCACACCTCTCCGAAGCGTGCCAGGGCCAAGGAAGTGTACCGTGAGTACGGTGCGGAGTTCCAGAGATTTAATAGCACTCTCTTAGCAATTATACTATATTACTATAATAATAATAATAATAATAATAAACTTTCAGTGGATGATTGAACACATGAAGAGCACAATTGTAATTTAATAACACAAAGCGCAAGAAAGTTCCAATGAAATGTCTTTATTGTTTGTTTGTTTTTATTGTCTGTTATTGTTTATTACTGTTTCTTTTATTTGTATCTGGATCATTTTTATTGTGTATTATAATATAATTCATATCAATCAATCAATCAATCAATAAATTTTTATTTGTATAGCGTCAACTCATAACAAGTGTTATCTTGAGAGACTTTACAAAAAGCAGGTAAAAAACCTTACTCTTTGTTTTTAACATTACAAAGAGCAGGTAAAAAGACCTTACTCATTGTTATGTTACAAAAAGCAGGTAAAAGACCTTACTTAATGCTATATTACAAAGACCCGGCCTATCCATCATGAGCACTTCAGCAAAGCAGTTACAGTGGTAAGAAAAAACTTCCTTATTAAAAGGCAGAAATCTTCTGCTGGATCCCCGGCTCACTGTGGTGATTGGACATTTTTGTATATTTTTCCTGGTCTGCTTTTGGTTTGGGGCTTGTGTTTTTTCTTTCAGAGGCTGGGCGTGGCTTATTGGCTGCTGGAGCTCCCTGCAATCACTCACCTGATCGTCATCTGTAATCACCGGCTGCAGCATTTAAACCCTGGTTCACCTCTCCCAAACTGCCAGATTATTTCTGTCTTCACTGTGGTAGATTGGCTTTTCAGTATTGTGTTTTGGATTACTTGTCACTAATTATCCCTTGTCATCTTTTTTCCCCAGTGCCTCCAACCAACGACCTCTCATTCAAGCCTCACCAGCCTTCACCAGCACCCACCACCCTGTTTTCCGGTCTTGCTTTTGGGTCCACTTAAAAAAGCTTTGAAGAATCATAACAGAATAATCTGGCCACCATGGACCCAGCAGACCAAGACCCCCTTCATCAGGCCCTCTCCAGCCATGGAGCCCTCATTGGAAGACATGACCACATGCTACAGGA